ATCTTGACTCCTATAAAAGCCTACTCTCATAATAGGTTAAACTGAAATAAATCTTTGTTTAACATGTTTATTTGTGTGTTTGGATGACGCATGATGTGTTCAACACATCTGCACATGAGTGCAAGAAGTCACACTTTAAGGTCACTTAGTGGTGACCTAAAAATTTTTTTTGGTAAGTTGGGATATGCAAGTAAATGACCAGTTTAAATTTCCATGGAGATAAGTGTAACACATTGAATTGAATTTGTAATTTGCAGAGATTGCCAGGGAATTTACATAAGTAGTGAAATGAAGTGAAGTTTTTTTTTAAACTTTGGTGATGAAAAATTTACTTAAAAATATTAATGTGATATGGCTTAAACAAATGTTTGTACTTTTTGTTGTATTTCCAGTTTTAATTACAGAAAATTGATTATTTTTTTTAGAGAAAAAAGATGTTTTTTGAACTTCATTATTGTCAATAAATTTTGCAATAAATGTTTGCACACTTTAAAAATTCTTTTGAAACAGTAAGCTTTTTGAGGTGAAAGAAACAGTGAATTGATTTTCCTCTATCATGTCTATAACAAGAGATAAAATTTAATCATTTTAATGTATTGAATAAGAAACATCTGTAACCATTTTAGTGTTATTATTAAGAAAAATGATTTTAATGTAATTTCTTTGTTCTTTTCTTTTCAAGAAACTGAAGATGCCAGCTCAAACAAGGAGGAAGAGGAAAGGTAATAAGTTTTAGTTAAAATAAGTAAAATTTAGTTAATTGAAAACTAATAGCAAAGTGTTTTTTTATTATAATAGTGTATGAAAAATTAAATATTAATTTTGCCACCACCTATGGAGTATTGTAACGGTCCAGAGATTTGACAGATTAGTTTTATACAGAGTTATTGAACCTGATTATTGTTGACATTGTAGGAGAGTTAAGATGAATTTGTATATGTGTTATAATTATTTGATATTGCAGGAATATGTACTGATTTATGGTTTGCATGTAATTGATAGGTGATTATTGACAAGTTTAAGTGATTTACGTGAGTTGAAGTAGTTTGTACATGTTTTGAGTTACGTAGAAATCAGCTGATCATAGCAGTAGTAAAGTTGTGGTGTTATTTTAGCTTACTTCATGTTTCAGGGACTTTAATTGGTCTTCTGTAGTAGATGAACCATAGATTTATAGATGAAATCATGTTTTCTTGAAGTTTAACTTGTTATCAGTTAATTATCGGCAGTTTATAAACTGGTAGATTTGTTTACGAACTTGGCGGTCGTAAATTGTGTAGGTCGAGCCCGATCGTAAAAGTTACGATAGTTTTAGGATTTTTGGAGTTAATTGTGTTATTTGTTGATTTAAATGGAGATTAATTTACTTATTCTAATTGAAGAATGTATTTGGAGATTACTTTCATTCAGAAAAGTTGTCTTGTATGTAGTTATTAGATTTTTCTATAGACTTTGCTGTTTACGGGAAATGTCACGAGAGATTCTCCAACGTTTTCCAACATGTCCAACAGTTTCCAACATTTACGTCATGTTATGGTATAAAAGAGAGAGATTCAAGGAATTTTTGCTCTTCTGCTAGGTTGGTTTGTTTAGAGAAGTCGTGTTTTAGGGGTAAGGAGTTAGTATGGGTTGGGCGTTTTGAATTTAGATTTAATAATGACTTTTTAGTTTTATTTTAAGAAGAGCCAGGGTTAGTTTAAGGATTTTTAGGAACTTTTAGAATATTTGTGGAATTTTAAAGGAAGTTTTGGTCAGGATTTAGTGAATTTTAACTGAGAATTGGACTTGGTTAAATTTTGCTGGTTGTTTGAATTTATGGTAAATTGTTGTTAAATTTTAGAACTACTTGAAATTGTTTAGGTAATTTATACATTTAGCTAAGGAAGCTAGTGTATTTCTAAATTTTGCTACTGTTTTTAAGTGGAATTCAGACTTAGGAAATTTGCAGGAATTACTGGTGTTTGAAATTTGTTAGGAATTAATTAGGTTTAAGGGATTAAGTTTTAGTTATTGGTTTTTACTTTCATCCAGGAGGTCTGGAAGGAAGTTCTGAGAAATAAGAGTTTTGTGAGTTGTATTGAGGTTGGTTTTAGGTAAGTCAGGACTAATAGGTGACACAGACAGACTGAGACAGAGCTTAGAATTTGTTTGTTGATTGTTTAATTGAGAGATAATTCTTTTAATAAATTGTAAAACTGCATTTTGTCTCATTTCAAGTACAGAGATTTATAAGGTTTTATCAAAGTGTGATTTTCCAACAAGATGGAAATTGTGGGATTTAACAGAGTATAAGAACTGAGTAATGATAATTTAAGAATTTTAGTGACTTCCGTAGGTCTAGGTTGTAACGAGCTTGACAAATAGAGAAGTAAAACTGAGAGATTTCGTGCATTTATAAATTTAGTGTAACTTAGAGAGCGCGGGTTAATAACAGGAGGTTTAGGTTTTGGACAGTGGGGTATTATCTGAGTTCATTGATTAAAGGGAGATAATTTAGTGTGTTGTGAAATACATTTAAAGAGTATTGAGTTTTGAACCACTGTGCCATACTAGCCCTCCTGAGCTCGGGTTGAGCTGTGTAACGCAAGCCTTGCCACGAAAGATAAGACAACCCCTATAGATAGAGTGTGAGGGAGACGGCGGTCCCAGCAGTATAGTAGTAGGAGAGACCCCGTCCGCCTGCCCCCACCCCCGTTACACTTGGCGTCGCCGGTAGGATTTGTACTTCCAACCAAGGAGTGTTGGTACCACAAATCCAGTGAAACGAACATCTCTAACTACAAAGATGGTGAAGAGGAGACAACAAGCCTCAACAAAATCTAGACGAGAGGGAAGTCAAGCTGATCATGAGGAGATACAGCAGATTACAGATGATGAGATGAACATTGGAACCTTGACTGTCACTGAAGGAGAAACTACAGATTATGAAACTACAGCGAATGAATTTGTGTCATCTGAGGAAGATGACATGCCAAATACTGTCAGACCACAAATCAACGTTGGAGCTGAAGTCCATATGAGAAGCAGTCCATCACTACCAAGCACTAGGCGAGATGCAGATCTACGTGAAGTGAGAAGGCCTACACCAGTGAGGCATGTTGGAAGACCTGGATTACGGAGGAGGCTGGGAAACGCTGATCTAACAGAACAACCAACTCCTACAAGAAATTCTTCCAACGATGCGGGAGACAATTCACCTGGTATTTACAATGTAGTAAAAGGAGCCTTGAAGGAAATGACCAGTCAGATTGTATCAGCTATCCAGACAGCCTTTGCTGGATTCACCGCCCAACAGAACACTGACTATGCTACCGAGAATCTGGAAAATGGTAAGTCCTCTGACCGCCTTGCGAGGAGCATGGCACATCAGAGGAGGAAAACCCAGTTAACACCCAGGGACCAGTATCAATCCCCATCATCTTCAGAGGAAGAGATAGAACCAATACCCAGGAGACGGTCATCAAATGGCAGTGTCAGGACCAGTGAAATTTTCCAACCAACCTACAAAGGCCATAAATCAAATGTGAAGTTACCAGCTTTTACAGGAAAAGCTGAAAAATGGGAAGTTTGGTACAACAGATTTGAGGCTGTCGCCCATATTGAGCATTGGACACAGGAGGAAAAACTGCGAGAAATCCTCCCAAGGCTACAAGGAGTAGCTGGGGAGTTTGCATACGGACAGTTACCCACCTCAGTCCTAAGTAACTACAAACGCCTACTGAAGGAGCTACAAAGCAGATTTGGTGAAGTTGAGACTACCAAACTTTACATAATGCAGTTTACTCGCAGAAACCAACAGCCTGGTGAATCAGCCGAGGATTATGCTGCTGAGCTTAAACGTTTGTATGACAAAGCTTACAAAAACAGAGGCATCTCAATCAGACAGGAGGATTTGTTACATAGATTCCTCCTAGGACTTCGAGACCAGAAGACAAGGATTTATGTGGAACTGAATAAGGAGCCCGAGACAATCGAGGATGCTGTATATCACGTGGTACATTACTTGGAGACCACCAGATATCCCCATAATCCAGAAGACAGTGACAGGAAGGAAAAGAAACCCACAAGACAGGTCAATGCTCCAGTCAAGCAAAAACCTGTTAAGAAATCAGTAAAGCCACAGGAAAAGCAATCAACAGGATGGAAGTCTGCACAACAGAAATACCAAACAGGTGCTCCAGGGACTATCACCATACAGGAAGGAGATCTTCAAAATCTGGTAAAGCAGTTGGTAGAGGAACAAATCAGATCTCAATTACAGACACAGTCTACAGAGAGGTCATCTGATTCCAACCAATGGCAAGGGAGGAGGGAAAATCCCACTAGTGCCTTCAATGTAAGATCACCTTACCATGGTAACCTACCAGCACCCAAGGGACAAGCAGATCCTCAAACAAGTAGACCAAATAATGGAATTTGTTTTGCTTGTGGCCAAAACGGACACTTTGCCAGGAGCTGTCCACTGAGGAATCAACAGAAAACTCGTAACAACGAGGGGAGATTCCAACAGAGTACTCTTAGTACTGCCAATCAACAACGACCCAACGATATCCAGCGAAGTGGAGATGAAACCTTGATGCAAAGTTCCTCTCCAAATTTGACCCACATGTCGTCAAACTAGAGAGGGTCACTCCTGTTGACCAGGGAGTGACCCAAACTGATGGGAAAGATAACGGTCATAGGAAAATGCAGGAGACAACACAACCAACAGGAGAAACCACCCTTGGTGATCAAGGTATCACACAAATTGCAAGACAACTCGTGAGGAGTGAGGGCATCTACATAAAAGGGAAGATTCAAGGCATGAAGGTCATGCTTACAGTCGACACAGGAGCTATCCGGACGGTGCTGTCAGACCGAGCCTACAGGAAGATCCCTGAGGATGTACGACCCCACTTAGAGAAGTCTTGCATGTTAACCAGTATAAATGGCCAACCTCTGAAGGAGATGGGGAAAGCCAAGTTCCAGTTTGAATTGGGAGAATTGAAGTTTGAGGAAGAATTAGTTGTGGCTGAAATTGAAGATGAAGCGTTATTGGGCTTAGATGTGCTGATGAAGGGTCCAGGTGGACCCGCCAATATTAAACTTAGTGAAGGTGTCATCCTGTTGAATGGTTGTTCTATCCCTTGCATCCAGAACCATCATCCCAGCAGACTTAGGAAAGTCTGTGCTGAGGAAGATTATCAAATTCCCGCCAAATCAGACGTGATTGTGGATATACCAGTATTTGTTGATAGAGAAGAGGATGAGTGTAGTGAAGGGTCAAAAGATTTTATAGTTGAACCGTTGGAAGAGTTTACCACTAGACATCCAGTGACAATAGCAGATACTGTTGTAGAGAATAACAATGGTAGTAGAGTCAGCATTGCAGATCCCTCTGAGGAAGAGGTGAATACTGTGATCATCCATGGAAATGAAGAAGATGAAACCAAGAAGTTTGACTTAGGACCTGACACATTGATGTTACCTCAAAGTCAAGGAAAGGAAACCGGCTATGGTGCAGTGCCAGTGAAGAGACTGTACTTACTGCCATCTGTAAAATCCACTGTCCATGGTGGCAACGATGGAACCATCACTGCAGCATTACCTGTGCAGTGGGAAACCAACATTGGAATCATCAGGAATCTCGCCATGAAGGGGACAGGAGAAGGGGGCATTGGTGGAGCAAGACCCCCAACGTTCACAGAGGACCGGCAGAAGGAGTACACAAAGGTAAACATTACAGCTTTGACAATTACCATGATGGTATGAGGTGATGATGATGAGCCATGCAGAGATGGACTGACTGTGATGCTAGACGGTGAGACGTAATCTGACGGTAATCTCTGACGGGACGATGCCTTGATGGGAAGGACCAGGAATCCTGTGTGATTGTGTTAAATGGAACTGTGCTAAGTGATATTCTATTCTAGGAAAGAATAAAGGACGGTAAATTAAAGCATTGATATGTGTACATTATAGCCAAAGTTCTAATTTCAGATATTATGTCATAATATTGTAATGTATTGATGATTGTACATTGTAAGGTAGACAGTTTGACCTTAATGTTTAGATTTGACATTTACTGGAGATAACTCATTTGTGAGGACACAAATATTTTGAGAGGAGGGTAGTGTAACGGTCCAGAGATTTGACAGATTAGTTTTATACAGAGTTATTGAACCTGATTATTGTTGACATTGTAGGAGAGTTAAGATGAATTTGTATATGTGTTATAATTATTTGATATTGCAGGAATATGTACTGATTTATGGTTTGCATGTAATTGATAGGTGATTATTGACAAGTTTAAGTGATTTACGTGAGTTGAAGTAGTTTGTACATGTTTTGAGTTACGTAGAAATCAGCTGATCATAGCAGTAGTAAAGTTGTGGTGTTATTTTAGCTTACTTCATGTTTCAGGGACTTTAATTGGTCTTCTGTAGTAGATGAACCATAGATTTATAGATGAAATCATGTTTTCTTGAAGTTTAACTTGTTATCAGTTAATTATCGGCAGTTTATAAACTGGTAGATTTGTTTACGAACTTGGCGGTCGTAAATTGTGTAGGTCGAGCCCGATCGTAAAAGTTACGATAGTTT